AGTTTCCTGTTGCGAATTATCGAGCAAAGAGCAACCAGTCAGATCAAACCGATCGGTCGATATCGCGTACCTCGAATGAATTGACGCTCAAAGTGGGGGAGCTTTAATATATCGAGTGTTAGAGTAATCCAGCACTGTGTTGAACTTGTTGTATGAACGTAACGTGTGATGTGATGCACGGCGGTGGTAAGATCTTGTTGGGAGCGAAGTATTTCAGCCGTACGGTACGATGTCTGTTGACGAACTGTCCTCCTACGTTGTTGCTTCTTCCTACCAGCCGTTGGATTTCGTCTGTCCATCGTGTCCTTCCGGCTGGTCCTTTTCCGGAGTTTTTTACCTGACCTCGGAGTCATTAGGTTTACAGCTCAGGGAGGACATGTAATTCGGAATTTCCTAAAGAAGGGAACGGATCTATCCGTGCCATAAACAGAGGGCCACTCAAAATTCCGAACAACGTTCGACTCGTCGATTACGACGTACTCGAATTTTTTCTCCCATACTTCTTCCTCTATGGTTTTATGATTTATCCCTGGTATGTAGAAATTTCTGGTCGCTGACGAGCGAGAATTTCACGCGCGATACAATTCAAGTTGATTTGATAACACGGAATGCGCGCGTAATAACGCGGCAAAAGTCAGTGGTGGCCGTCGTTTGGCGGCCGGTCATCCGCGTGGAAGTTAACCGTCGAAATTGCGATTTGTCGCGATAATACGGTCGATGTGCTGCCAAAGAGTGGTCCCGCCGATGCGAGATAAATATTTGGCGTTGCGCCGAAAATCGTCTGCCTCTGTCTCTGTCTCTGTCTCTGTGTTCCTCCATTTCGCTCTTCCGCGCTCCCACGACTTTGGTCGCCCAGAATCAACCGATCGAAACCAGAGGGTAGAACGGGCCTATGGTTTCTCGATGCCGCTTGTTTCCCTCCAATTGGCCTTCCAACTGGCCGATAACGTCCCTTGGAAACGATCGGCGAGTTTAGATTTCTCGTGATGTAACGCGTCGCATTTGCAAAGTTGCCGCGCACCCACTAATACAGCAAATGCTAATTTCGTTGAAGCGTGTCAACGATGAAATCGAATTTGTGGACTCAGAGTTCGCATACAGTGACAACGGTACGAGCTATGGAGAAAAAGGGTCTGGAGAAATATCGGACAGTTTCTTGCCCGGAAATCTGACTTTACGAATTTCACTGACTGGAAAACGCAAAGGATTGAGCGAAGATCAAAAGCGTTAGAGCGTGTACGGTGACAATGATACGAGCTATGGCGAGAAAGTGTCTGCAGAGACATCGGACAGTTTTATGGCCAGAAATCCAACGCTGTTGGTCTTCGTTCAATTCTACGAAACATTTAACCCCTTGGCTTATAACCACGAGTCAAACTCGTGGTAAAGAATTTGTGCCATAAGCGAAGACCGCGAGTCTAAAAACACTATTAAAACACGACTTAAAAACACTATTAAAACACGTCTTAAAAACGCTATTTGTCCTCAAACGTTGTTTATTATTTCACAATATCTTTTGTAGCCCCTAAATATACATGTCATAAGAAGTATACATCTTGCGCCAGTTCGGGCACACGGCTGAACAGATGAATAGGGCACGGCGCGTGACCGAATTTCTTGCTTACTATGGCTCGCACGATCGGCAGATAGCGTGTAGGCCAAGGGGTTAAACAAAGTCGATCGCGTAGGATCTCGTAGGCGCTGATCGACTGTACCGACGAAATCGTAGCTACGGAGAAGTCGTGGGTTCTTCGCGATTTAATTTTAATTTAATTCAACCAAACTGAGTCACAGGAAGCTAAGTCGGACTGTAAACGTACGTGACGTCTTCCCGATAGCGGTACGCACAACACGTAAATTCTTTTGTATCTTTTCTATTCCTTTGATTCGCTGGTTTAGAGTGACATCAACGTGTCAGATCATTAACGAGTACTTATGCTAATTAGATACTTTGAAACATAGTTAACTTCATCGTTTAAATAAGGTTTCCGAGATGTATATCGTTGGTGAACGAGATTACCGCGATTGAATCCTTTTGGCCACCGAGAGCTTCTTTCAGATCTGCTGGTATCTTGCATTCGTTTCTTGCGAGATTTAAAGCGGCGCGCTCCCAAAGGAGATCTCATTGATCGCGATATCCGCGTCACGTCGGTTACGCTTGTTTGGTTTTTTCTTTTGTATCTTGTAGATACGCTTGTTCCTCGTTGAACGCGATAATTGTAGATGAATTGCAATTGTCCAACCTCGTTAAAGCGAATGCATATCGTAGGAGTAACGTGTCGTAGGAGGGACATCCGTACATAAAAATAACGTAACATCGATTTATCTCAGTTGGAACGAGGAAGCACAGATATTTCGAGATGTAGCTTTCGTTCCGTCTTAAAACATGAAAGATCGCTTGGAAAGGAAATCCTTATTTTAGGATATCTTAGAGAGGCGACGTACAAAGCTCTCCATATAAAATAGAAGACAAAGAGGAAAAGGAATCTGGTTGGAAGGCAGGATGTATCGCAAAGAAACAGATGCATTGTCGGCGCAGGACATATGTTTCACGGTCCCAAAAGTGGATACTTGTTCTCGCGCGTTTCGTAGGAAATCGATGATGTACGACGACGGTCGAGAAGTCGAGCGCTTTTCTCGTTCGCCTGAAAGCCATACGATTTCAAACGTTCGTTAGTTATTCTAAGCTTAAGGACCGGCGGCTAAAAGTTTCGCCGCTTTTAAATTCCGATTTATTCGAGTTGTAGCGCGAGATCGAAAGTTCGCTCGTTCCTCTCGGCGTCTCCTCCTCCCCCGAGACTTCATTAAACGTCTTTATTTAGAAACTGAGCGCCCCTTGAGCTGCGTTGCAGATTCTTCTCCTTTCGTCTTCCTTCTCCTTCGTTCCTCTTCCATTGACATTAAAACGCGCTAGGAATGCGTTAATTTCCTCTTCGTCCGCCGTGATATCGTTAGCTTTTACTCGAGTAAATGAAATGGCAGTTGCCGTTTTACGACCATACGATAAGGTAGAAAGAGAAGGAGGAGCGGGTATTGATTTTTGTATCTCGTCGTGCTGTTAGTAATTAGTTTGTTTTCGTATTTAATCGTTACTCGCTGAAAGTAATTAAATTTGGCTCGCGTGGGTGTAGCGATCTAGCGAATTCGAGTCGGCGTGTTCGCGTCGAGGAGACAAGGATCGAACAGCTGAAAGAGAATGATTAGAGAGTAGGAAGAACGAGCCGTGACCGAACAAACTTACGTTGCCATCGTAACTAAATAATTTAGATTTTTAGTTTTCGCCACGATCGAACGACGCGTTCGTGGTTCCTGGGATTTCGATCGCGTGAAACGACAGGACAGTTTCGGATCTGTCGCGAAGAAGCGGGCTGAAATATTCGCGAAATCTCGCAGGAAACATCAACGCGATATTTAAAACACGAGTGGGACCCAAGGAACCATAAATACGACGACGGATAAAAGAAAATGTTCATAAAATAAGAGACACGGAAGGATATTTTATTTGTATGGAATTTTACGAACTGAATTTTTATTCGATAAGGACGATGAATAATTATAATATATATATACCAGCACAGCGCAGATGATTTTTGCCAATACGGCAAAAAGCTTTTTAGTTAATTAATTTTTAGTTCGCTTAATATTCATAGCGTATGAATTTTAAATTTCCTCTTTTCCGCCAGCACGTGTAAATTTCAAAATACTTTTATCGCAAGAACAGAAGCAGCATCGTCTATGTTAAAAGCACATCGGAAATTTCGTTATATCCGCGGTGGTTTGGTAAAGTTAGAGTCGTCGAGCCTCCAACACCAAGCCTTCTTCTTCGTCTACACTTCAAAGACAGCGCGGTATTCAGCAACTGGTAACTACGAAAGTGTAACAAGCAAAAGAGAAATTGCACCATCGCTTGTTTAATCTTTCATTCGGCTAAGGTACTACAGAGCAGAGTGTGCTGGTCGCGAGGAAGTTTATTCCGCTACCTTTTTCCACCACCGATGTGGATCGTATTTCTTCGATGTAAAATTAACTTTATCGTCGAAGGGTATTTCGTTTGTCGTCGCTTGGTTCGCAAAGGAAGAAACACGAAAGATGAAACACGTTGAACCGCCGCTAGCTTGAGACGTTTGATCCGTGGCGTATTTAATTACGAAGTGTCACGGTCGAAAGATTCGTTCGACGTTACGATAGAAAGCTGAAGGAACGAATTGTTTTTCACACGATTATCCTTATCGGATACGGTGGACCCAACGTGGTGTATCGTGGCTCGTTCTTGGCAGCCTCAGGCAAAAGCAACGTACGAGTTGATTTATCGATTGCAACGAAAGCAACGGTACTAACATTTCCCGAGTTCCAGCATAGCGGAACCTTCTCTTGTAAATGCGTTTCGTTAAGTTTCTCGATCACGTATACGAAAGTTCAGCGTGTCATGAGGTTCCGGCCTTTTTCCTTCCGGCTTTCCACGTCAAGATGTCCACGCGCGTTTCTTCCTAGCTGCTCGAAAGTTTCATCGTCTTATCTTTGTTACTTCTCCTTATCCTTTCCAACGAGTTATTCGAAGTTAACATTTTCTAAAAAAAATGTCCATCTTCCCTTTCGAACGAAACTTGAGATCAAAAGTGAAATGTAAATTATAGAATATTAAAATTTATCCCGAGTTTCGTTCCAAGTTACGAAGTTCCCTAAATCGGCCGTACCTTGAATTCTGTCGGTGTTAAAAGGCTGAAAATTCACCATCTCATCGGCGTTCGTGCATTCGGAAGCAGCGCGCTAGTTTGAACGCTATTTAAAAAAAGACAGTGACGCAAGATACGTACGCGAATTTAGATACGAAGATGATTTTAATTAATCTCACTTAACAGGCGTTTGTATCACGGTAGCTGATGTCAGCGTTTCCGACCAGATTATTCTTATCTGGTGTACACTTTGTTTTCCGCGAAGGATCCGTTCGTTCCGCGAGACTGCATGCGGGCTTCCCTGCTTGATTTATAGCTTCGAGCAGTTACCGATAAAACTTGCCCGCGTTCGAGATATAATTCGCAAACGCACCGCGATTAATTCCATCGCCTCGTCGATCGCCAGGGGAGGGTTTCCTTGCCCTTTGTTACCGTGAAACAGATCATTACGTTAATTACTACGGATCTTTAATCCTTCATCCGTCAGCCTGCAGGACTTTTGTCGAACCGGTTTCACGAACTGGAGGCGATGCTGGGACGAACGAACGGTAGTAACAATCGGATAAAAGGAGGAGGAGATCCGTTAAAATTGTTCGCACTGTAAGTTAGAATTCACTCTGCCATTTCGACGGCCAAGTAAATCGACAATTTTTACGAAATTTATGAAAATACGAGAAAAAAATTCACCTATGTATTTGTGGCTCATCGGATTTCGATCGCGTTCCCGATAATGCGTTGCGTGTTGTTTCCACGTTTCGCGAGTTTCGGGTCTACCCCGAATAATTGAACCGGAATGTTCGCGAAACGTGGATCGCGATTTGCTATGAAAATCCCGTTTATAGCCATGCGGCTACGCTGGCGACATTCGAAATTTGTGTTCGCAAACTGATGATGGGTTTTCGTTGCTTCAGCTACCTGGTAGCTAGAAAAATATGGTAACTCGCAAAGGATTAGAAAGATTCGAAAAATTAAGAAGGAGAATACCTTCGGTTTAACCGAAAACCACGCGTGCAGCGCACAATGAATTGATAAAACTCTTAAAGAAAGATACCACGACGAAACGTTCGTAAACGCGAATAATTCAATTCGCCTGTAAAGGATCTCCGGTCTGCTCTCCGTTCGACGACCCATTTCCCATTTCACCGGATCTTCTCGCGTAGCTCTGGCCCTATACAGCGCGTTACGATTCCGAAATCCTGCGAAAAAGCGAGTACGCCGACAATTCAACGTTCCGATACCAACTCCATCAGCGGTTACTTCGGGGCACACAGAGCGCACGGTTGTACCTGCCTTTATTCAGCCGTGGCCGAGAACGTAATGAATTCGAAGTTACGCAACTCGAGAACGGTGGAACGCTCTGGCGTTCGCCTCTGTTGCGCTTATTCTATCGTGTTTCAATTACGCTGCCGCTGGTAAATACACTGGAACGGGCCAGGCCGAGATCCGCGCCGTGTTTTCCACTTTGAACGCAGATGGAAATCCCGACGCGACGTCGTGCGATTAAGTGCAACGCGTGCGAGACGACCGCTTATCAGTATGCGCGTAATGATCGGTAAGTACACCGGCGTTAATAATTCCTGCCGCGTGGAAAGAATAAATTACGAGCTACACGTGCGTGTTTTTAACGACGCGGGTTGCGTGCCACCAAATTGAAAGAGACATGCTTTAATCCGGTAATGCTCGTAGTCGTTCTAATGAGGTAGAATGGAGGGGCAAAGAGATAGGAAAGTTGATTCTGCGTGGAAAAATATTCTGCGCGAACGAAGAAATTTTACAACGGCTACAAACAGTATTTGCACGTAACCTTATTCCATCGACGAAGCGTATTTTCATCAATAAAACGTATTGTACGTTTTATTTTCGTAGTACGAAATGTCGATCGTTATGTAGAAGGCGAATTATATTTATAATAGTCAGGTGAATTTGACATATTTTATCTTCTGGGCGATAGATTGAAATATACTACAGCGTTTAATCTTTACGTTTAATCCAAATATTACGTTACATTTTGACGCTTTTTTCTATAAAGTCATCCGCATGAAAGTTTGTTGGTCCATGAAATTTATCTTATCTTAATCATTTGAAAAAGTTTGGTAATCACCGATGACCGCCGACTACCACGGTGATAATTACTTGGTATTTGACTATTACGATAAACATAATGGTGTGCGAAAGAAATAACATCTTTTGTAGCCACTGTATACGTTTCGACAGAAGAGGTGATTTAAATAACGTTTTTACTTCGGAACCCATCGCCAAACCTGTCGAAGATTTTTTAACCGAAAAGTGTCTTTCTTTTACAGACACGTCTTTTACAACGATGCATCTTTATACAAACATGAAACCTAATCTGTCGAACGTTGTGATCTTTATTTTGATAGAACAAAATGGACCATACGTAATTCGGTGAAATAATATAAAACGGAAAATGCCGCGCGTCCGTTATTTCCTCATAAGACGAAAGAAACTTTTCGGATGACCTAATCTATCTACGTGCAGTTGAAATAAACCGAAGAAAACTAATATTCGTTTCAAATCATATATTCAAAGTAAAAGTAAGAACAATAGTGTTTAAAAATTCATCCAGCCCACGTTTAGAACCCAGACTACGTTTGGATCACTTCCTGCAAAAATGATACGATCGATAACGATGATAACGTGTGTCATCAGGTGGATGTCCCGCTCTGCCATGAGGCCGGCCGAGGGCGACACATCGGACTGCATCCTGGTGGTTGGCATATCCAGACCGAAAATGGCCGCTGCCTTCCTCACCGTTGTCCTACTCTCCCTCTTTCTGACCTTCCACATTCTGTACGATAGCGCGGTATACAGTTTTCACGCAGCCTCCGCCGTCGAGGGTCGTACCGTCGAACTCGTCTCCCAAGTCCGCGCCACACCGCCTTTGCTCTTCTCCAGCAAGGTGCACTTCCCACGCACCAGCCGTCATCTACCTCAGGCGATCATCATCGGCGTACGGAAATGCGGCACCAGGGCGCTCCTCGAGATGCTCTTCCTTCACCCGCAAATCCAGAAAGCCGCTGGCGAGGTACATTTCTTCGACCGCGACGATAATTACGGGAAAGGCCTCGAGTGGTATCGACGCAAGATGCCTTATTCCTTCAGGGGCCAAATCACCATCGAGAAAAGTCCCAGCTATTTCGTCACGCCAGAGGTGGGTATGAATTCGGCCAAAGACCGCGAATTTTTACACATTCTTGTGCTTTTTCGTGCGCGTGGCTGAAAGAAGCGGAACCTAAATAGGAATTTATCTTATCTGCTAAATATCGTAATGAATACTAGCAGTATCTTGTATATTTCTGCGTGTCGTACGCCTCGTACGTGCTTTTTGCCGAATTTGTCGAGTTTCTCGTATCGTATTGCGTTGGCAACTAAGCGATTGCGGATTTTGTTATCACGTGGTAATGACAAAATCCGCAATCACTTAGTCGTCATCCCAATAAATCCGCAGTCCAATCGTGCGACGTACGATCCCGAATCGTACGGTTCGTCTCGCGTCAACCATTTGCGGTCGATGTGTTTCTGCGATGACGATTACCAATTGGAGGAAGAAATAAATATTTATAGCTTGAAGAGGAATTTTAAATTGTTACATCGACGTTCGACTTTGAAGAGAAACTTTAAACGCCGCCACTGTGGCAACATTCGACCGCAAAAGGCTATTAATTCGGACACGGCGCTATCTTTGCGCTTGTTGCTTTACGTAAGAGAGGACGATTTAAATATCGCGTTGCTTGTTTTACGAGAATACCAAGCAATCGTCGTAGCTTAAAGATAGGTAAACCATGTCTTCCTAATGATAACGTTTAATTATCGTACGATAGCTTTTTCGCCAGCTCAGAAAGACACGCAATAATAGGGTAGTCGATAAGTTTGTAAATCGAAAGTTACGTATTGGCTCGGTTCACGGTTCATTCGGCCGATTCAGTCACCCGAAATTAATTTGGCGAGCAACGTTCGCGATAGAATCGTACGGTGTCAAGGTTAACTCGTTTCTTACAACCTCGAAGAGGAAATAAATCCACGCGATTCGATTCGCCAACGTTACACGGTGCTGTTGCTTGATACCGTAATTTAAGAGTCCACCATATTTCCTTCGCAAACTATACGTTCAAATTGAACGTTCCAAAGCGAGAAGCGAAACGCACAGGATATTCCTACCGAAGAAAAGAAGGAAATAAGGAAACTTGTTAGAACTTTTTCATCTTCTTTTGTACGAAACGATGTTTTTAATAAATAAAGATGAAATATCTCCGGACTGATTAGAATATCAGATAATTCGAAATTTTACACGAGACAGAGATATTGGATAAAGTAAAAGGAATTCTATTAGAACAATTCGCTGGTGCGATAACGCGTATCGAATTTTCAAAAATTAAACTAAAGCCAGCTTTTATGAAGTAATTTCTGTTGGAACAACCATTTTCTAAAATGCCTAATAAAAACGTTACACTGGATATAATCGCAGTTAATGCCACGGTCTACGAACACATTTTTGCTTTTAGCGTTACTGCTAAATAACATGCAACTCGCATTCGTGTATAGTTTCCGAACGTAAACAGCGTGGCACCACGAAATTCTGGATATCACGATGAATATCGTTACACGAAATGCGCTTGACACTATGCGTGGATGCGTTGTTGGTCGTAATCAACCGTAATATTATCATACGTGATTATCCTTTCGACGAAATGTATTTTATATATCATTCAATTCAACGAATTCAACGAAACGAGGTGCAAATCGTAGAATCGCGCAAACGATTTTCATCTGATGATGGCTTTCAAAAGCCACACTGATCAACTCCATATTTTAATGATTCCCCAATTTCGTTAAATAAGCGCGCGATTAATATTCTGAAGGAACGAATGATTTTTGCTTTCGTAAGTTCGTTCACTGCAAAAAGATTCTAAAAAATTCTAAGGTAAATTTAAAAAACTTCTCTTTATTTCTCGAGTTACAAAGCTGATCGATGTGGCTTCTGACCGGTACGTTTGATAGTCGTAAATCGACAATTTTAAAGCAGTCCCTTTCACGTGTTAAATTCGTATATCATAGGACCTACGAACGCAAATTATTATACACACCTACGTATCAAGTCAATTACACGTAATCGTTACCATGACGATCACTGTTCTAAGTGATCCAGCGATACTATGTCTGCTGTAAAATCCAATATATTAAACGTAGGTAAACGATAATACAGGAAACACGCGTACGACAACTTTCTCTAAAATTTCGCAACGAAATTGTTGCTCCGAAGCGTCGCGTGATTTTCTCGTTTTCTCGCGCTTAACGATAATTCTTCACGTCGTTGATTTCTCGTCGCAGGTACCTGAAAGAATCCGCGCGATGAACGCGAGCGTGAAGCTGCTGCTGATAGTGCGGGAACCAGTGACCAGAGCGATATCCGACTACACTCAGCTACGGACGCACGCCGCGACCGCTTCGACCCTGACGAATGGAACACCACGAAGCATCCAGCAACAGCAGGCGGCGCGTAGCTTCGAGGAACTGGTGATACGACCGGACGGCAGCATCAACGAGTCGTACAGGCCAGTAGCGATTTCCCTGTACCACACGTACATGCATAGGTGGCTGGAGGTGTTCTCCAGGGAGCAGATCCTCATAGTGAACGGTGACCAATTGATCGAGGACCCGGTGCCTCAGTTGCGCAGGATCGAGAATTTCCTCGGATTGGAGCCACGGATCGGCAGGCACAATTTCTACTTCAACCACACGAAAGGCTTCTACTGTCTGCGCAATGAGACGTCGGAGAAATGTCTGAAGGAGAGCAAAGGCAGACGACATCCGCGCGTTAGTCCCGTGGTGGTCACCAAGCTAAGGAGGTTCTTCAACGAACACAATCAACGATTCTACGAGCTCGTAGGGGAAGATCTCGGCTGGCCTGAGGAATAGCCGTCGTAGAGAAGCGGTTCGATCGCTGTGTCATAGATGCGGGTAGCCACGCGAGAAAGTCCAAAGTTCGCGAAGAAGCTGCTTTATTTTTTCTAAACGTCGGAGTACGGCGCAGCTGGTACTGACGCGGTGCAATTCTTTTTTTTTTTTCTTCTAGTTTCCGTCGATCGAATTTTAAGAATGGAAATCACGAAGATCCCCTCGGCATGGACGAGATCTGAACGCGGAAAGATTGTCCGCAAGCGGAACGAAGGAGCGGATCAGCTACGGGGAACAGGTTGGTCCGAACTCGGCTGGTCCGAGAGAACTTCTTAACAAAGCGAACGCGAGCAAGGTTTCTGCGCTTGACGCGGTTAAGGGAATCTTGTAATTGCTACGGAGTACCTCGAAAATCTTGATCCACGGGGATTACGTGAGGAAGTTGGTCGAAATTAGCGGAAACATCGTCCAGGGAACCGAGGGCAAATTAAGCAACGCCAGCCCTGTGAAAGAAGACAACAGCGCGGAATTGAACGGCGAATCAAGCGAACATTTCGTGCCACAAAGGACGAAGGCATCTTCGTGATTCGAATTCATTAATGGGAATATTCGAGCTTTTGAAGACTAATTAGGATCGCCTTTGGTTCGAGAAATTACGCAACAAAGTTACCTGCATCGTTGTCGTCTCATATTACTTCGTTGGATATTTGAAAATTCTTCGGGAGCAGCAGTTTCGCCTGGTGCTTCTCGTCGCGGGAAGAATCGAGGCTGATCAGGATAAGTACCTTTTATATTTTATGATTAGCCGTAACATCGAAAACGGGTAACGCGTCGATGGTTAGATATAATTCAGCGATTTAGGAACTGTCGATGTGCTCGAATTCCAAGGATCAGTAATCGTAGAAAAACCGAATAGAAATCTTTCATTTCGCACGGACGATGATACAAAAATTCTAATTTCTCCGGAATATTATTGAAAGAAAAAAGTATCCACGAAACACGTTTCTCGTTCGTCAAAGATTTAATACTCGGTTATCGTCTTGTTAACAGCGCGAGATGTAATAAAAGGAGTTCCTTTTGTAGGGAAGAAAGGAGAGAGTGCGATTCGTTTTCTGAAAAAAGTGCAACAGTTCCGTTGCCGTCTCTTCGAAGAGGAGGCCCGAGCACGCGAACTCGAGTGAACATCGAAGAGCCCGTGGCAATGAGTCAAGCCATTAAATCGAGTGCATGCAATTTAATGGATATATGCTCCGGCCAGGACTCTTCATTATTATCGGAGATCCTGAGCCCCTCTCGTGTTCGCGTTTCAGCCGTTCGTCCTTGCGTGCTAATTGCTTCGAGTTGTCGCTTCGTAGCGCCGACGAGACCGATTTCTGCATCTCGATCGATGCTCCGTCGTAAAACAACTTTCATTCTCGTACAGTGTTGCGGTTAACGCGTCGTTGATACAATAGAAACATGGATTAGGAAAATACGAAGATACAAGCAAATTACGAACAGCTTTCGGATCACGAAATAGATATAAAAAATCGAGTCTATCTCAGGGAATCAGCTAATTATTCGAACTGCGTCGTATGTTCCCGACAATAGCCACCACTCACCGAAGACAGAAATATCCGTAATTTTTATCGAACAAGATAAAAGGCTTCGTTCAGTGTGAACTACCTACGATCGTTCAACGATACCTAACGCACATACAATTTAATTCGCCAACGATAAACGAACATGCAACGCAGTCTGAAACTTCATATTTATTTCCATGATATAAAATGCCCGAACTCTTCGCGCTATATACCGTGCGAATTTGCTTAACGCGTCTATCGACGAATTATATTTATTACGAAACAATTTATTATAAAAGAAATATAAACGAGATACAAAACGTAGTTAGAGAAGCGTGCAACTTGGAAATATGGAACGTTAGAGACATTTGTAATAAAAGAAGCTCGTAGAAAATTGACTCGCGCCAAGTCAGTTTAACAACGCGTGATCCGATAGGCATCCGATTAACTGGACGGCCGAAGATGATCGGCAGGCGTGGAATTGATTAAACGTTCGTCGTGGAAAGGGTAACGAGATGATCGAGGCGGACGAAGAAAATTAGCCAGGCAGCGCGTGCGAAATCGATCGGGCAACGTCTGGCCGTGTGAAAGGTGGGCAAATCGTCGGCAGAAATATCAGGGGTTGAATAGCGTGGAACATCGGGCAGCGATCCTCGATATCAGTCACGGCCGCGTGTATCCCAGAGGAGCGGCCTATCGCAACCGAAACGTGCAAGAGTAGATTCCGGATGGGTCGTTACTCAGAGGGGCTGGATATCTGTCCGTCGATTCTCGGTGGCGAACGAACGAATTCGAGCACATTGTACCTGGTGGCGCGGCTCTGCTCGACTCGGCTCGGCTTGGCGCGCCCGTCTATTTGGGTCGATCGATCTCCGGTAAGAGAGCAGAATGATCCATCGATGCTGTTACCCGTTCCTCCGCGTGGCTGCGCGCAAGACCGCACGTCTTGTTCCATCGTACATTTACCTGCATACACTCGCACACATATGTATCGTACACGTACACGTACAGGAAAAGGAAACTCGCGCTCGCGTACACTCACACACACACACATACGTACGTAGGTACGTGTTTACGTGCATAGGTAACCAGAGACAACGGAGACGGACAGACGAACGGGACGGACAGACACTGTTCACAGGAAGTAACGCCGGCCAAAATAAAATAGAGACGAGAGTCCGATGGAACGATCGGTTTCAGGAGGATAAACCTCCTGAAGCTTCAGCGACTCGTTTCGCGGGCCCCGTCGCCATGGATCACATTGGTCCGTGAGTTTACATATCATATAGGGTTAACTAGTTGATATTACAGAAGATTTAATATTTTTATAATCCACATTGGAAGTTGTTATATCGAGTCGTTAAGCTTATTGTGTACAGGAGGAGAGCCACCCGTCTGCATAGGAACAATGGGATTTTAGAGAAGAAAGAGAGCTCTCTGTGATCTTGGGTTTCGTCGCTCCGTCTAATCTGTTAATCGATCGCGTTCGTTTCATGTATCGCGAGGCAGGATATCGTAGTTTTCTTTCGCCGCGCGCTGTGCACGACTCGCCGAATGAATTAGGGGGATGAAAGGAGGATCGTTTGGCGAGTGGCGTCGAGCCGTTCTGCTTCAGCAGCCAGAAAGGCTTCAACGGGAGGAGGAGTTGGTTAAAGCTGTAATTTTTTATACGTGTTACTATTATACCGTGAAATGTTGGCGAATTTCATTCGTAGCGCGATGCAACCATATCATTTTTATTACTATTTGACGTAGTAAGATACATTAGGTCGGAATAAACAAAAGTTAAACTGCACATATCGTTAGAATTAAGAAATAATTGGTAATTACTAATCGTCGATGTTCGAATTGGATACTGATTGCGATGTTTAAACCGATTATTTAAGAAGTTTCGATAAGAAAGAGTAAATAGAATATTCTTAAGATCGTAGATCGAAGTTATCTGTGAGGAATTATTATTGCGCTTAATTCAGTACCAGCGGTTCTTGATCATCGTCGTCATAAGCTGGGACGAAATAAAGTTTCGAACGATTCAAAATCGACACGAACTTGCGAAGCAAGCTTCGACGTTCATTCGTATCACTTTTTATCAATTTATCAATTGCATAAGTTGAAGGGCAGTTAATTTGACTAAAAGCTCGAAGCTCGATATAAAATCACAGAGGGAATTAAAATTTGTAAATTGATCGACGTTTTCGTTGCTTCTACTTTTTCGAGTACCTACTCTTTACTTTAATACGCGCACACGTATATTTGATTTGTATAAAAACTAGGACGTAAGCGCGAAACGAATACATATCAGAAAATTGTGATAAGGAGACGTATATATAAATTTTTATAAGGTATATGTTTAGGCGATTTATTAAAATAATCGTGGAGTTTGAAGATGGAAAAAATGATCGTTAATTGAAGAAAGAATAGCGCGACAAATTTTCATATCCTGTATTTTTCGAGGAGACACGACAAATTTAGTATATTTTTAACGTTCACCGAATTAAATAATAGTCGTTAAATCACTTTGATTTGTAGATACGAAAAGATATTATTCTATAAACAATGATTCAAATATTGATACTTTTTAGTATATTTGTAACGTTCACTGAATTAAATAGTAAACGTTAAATCATGTTGATTTATGGATACCGAAATATATTACCCAGTGAACAATGATTCAAATATTGATACTCGAATTTAATAACGCGATATATACGTTTTACACTTAGACTGGCTGTTTTATTCCCCTCGTTATACAATGGTACCAAAAATCTCTTCATTTTGTTTATCTGATCTTTTTTACGCTTCCTTATGCGTGGAATATTAAACCAAAATTAGATGATCTAAAGAAGACGATCCTAAATTTTGTTTAAAATATACAAAAAATATGAAAAGAAGCGACTTTTTCATCTTAAGCCATATAATTATGAAGAATTTTCCAGGGCTTAACAATTAAAAGAGAATTCATCCTGGGAGTTTACCTCTTGCGAATTCTTATTTTAAAATCTAAATAGAACGATCGATCCGAATCATCGTATCGTTGGTACGTGACGTCACGGAAGAAAAATCCTGAAGGAATCCGAGGAGTGCGTGTCACGGTTCACCTAAAATTGAGCTAAAGCTAAACGAAATCCTACGGATAGCCTGTTGATGTTCGTATTCGTCGTAATAAGGCTTGTATCGCACACCCTATGTAAACCTATTCCAATATCCAAGGTTCCAGATTGAAGCAAGGATATCAACAGCGGAGAAAAAGAGAAAAGGGAGCAGAGAAATAGTAAGGGGCCCCTATATATCACGTGAAGATAAAAGTTCGCGATAAAATTGACCATTTGTTTCTGAAGAAAAAAGAAGAGAGAACCCGGCGCGAAGATTCCATCGATCGCTCCTGGGGACCCGTGACGCCTCGATGAACGAACCTGGAATGCGTATAATAGTCAGAGAAAATTGCTCGGAAATCTTTCAATACGTTCTCTTCCGTGCTATGTCGTCCACTGGCCATTTGTACCGAATTCGCGACAAAAATAGAGATCCCGTTATACTTCGAATTGGATTTTTCGACAGTGAGAAACAAGATTTCTCTGAACGCTGTGCAATTTTATAAATTTCAGATTTATAACCCTTGACAAAAAGTACTTATATACGACTAGCCTTTTTGGAACATCCTGTATATATGTAGTTTTATTAAAAACCAAAACGGTAGTATTTATAGTGGAAGTAATCGTTTTGTTCGATCAGAAACGTATCGTACAAACGTATTTCGATATAAATTTTGCCCTCTTTTTTTTCTTTTTTTTTTTTGCTTTGCAAAGTATGTTATATACCGAAAAATTTGCAGGAAATTTGCAATTTAAATCGAAAACACTTTTCACGGTGTCGTTCATTAAATCGCGTATCTTTTTCGGCCCGGTGCACCGCGGTATCGCGAAATTACACGGAGAAACGAAAACTCGTTTCCATTGAGTGAGCGGGCAAGGAAAGTTAACGGAGAAACCTTGGAAAATCCACCGTTCGTCTCCGTTTCCAACGAACGCCGTAAAAGTCACGTTATAAGAAGCTGCTAGTAAAAAAAATGTTCGCTAACAGAAATATACGGGATCGTTTCAAAAGATAGCTTGTTAAGAAATAAATTGATCTATTCGCGTATAGATATCCGCTGTTTTCTTTCATAGGGCTTTTCTTTCATTGTAAGAAGCAAGTTTCCACGTAAAGATATCGATGATATTCTTACAACGTATCGTTTCTGTAACATATATAAATGACAGGGGTATTCTTTGATATTTCAATTACCGTACCCATAGTGCAGTTTTGAGTGATACGAAGAACGATAGTGATCGAACGATACGATAGTTATGTAGACAAGGGTATCAGAAATCGCGAATGCTTTGCACGCTTCAAGTGTGACACTCGATATCGGAAAGCGTACTTTTCCTTCGGGAACAGGAACAGGAGAAGTGTCAAGGAATTCGGTCAATCGCGAATAAACTTGTCACGGAAAGCTTAGGTGTTTGATCAAGGTTTTATCCTACGAGTATCTTTGAAGCCTCCAGAAATATCACTATAATCGACGAAAAATTCTCCGTTCTTGACCTTCTGACCTCCTTTAAACCTGAAATTTTAATAAAAGGAACAGGTTGGAAAAGAAGCGGAAAAAAAGTGGTATCGGATATTGTTATTGCTCTTTTTCCTTTTTTTTTTTTTTTGTTACTAGCCTTTATTATAATCGATCCGTTGCATTCCTCGTCGCATTTCGTTCTAGTCTATATCTCTGTACTATGGATAACAGCTTTATTTTTTCTAACAAACAATTCACCTAAAAAAAATATTTCGTCCCGAGCCTCTACGATTTTTTATAAAATACGGTGTTTTCTATTAAATATATTAAATTTAATATCGTATCGTATTTGTTATCTTTTTATTTATTTTTATTTACTCAGTGCGCTGTCCGTACACTACGTGTGTTTGTATCTACGTTCTCGTCGCGTTTTGACGAATACATCTATGAAACATACAAATATTCCTAACTTACAAATTAAAACCATTTCAGCCAGTACAAATTAAATATATCTTATCTATATAAATTAAACTTAACTCTGTTCAGACTTTCCTTTTCTATTTTACATTTACGTCCTCTTCGTTACTAGCCTTTGTACTAACCACTGCCTCTAATTTCGCCATCGGACTTTTCATATCTTCTGCTAATCTCACACTGTCTGTTAGCATATTTTCGATTTTCCTTTTCAACTTCAGACTGGCGCCCAGCTTATTCACCCAACCCCCGAGGTCTTCCGATAACTTTCCTCTCAAACGCTACGTAACTCCATACATGCATCATTCTCTCTCTTCCTCTCTTTCGCTCTTTCTCTCTCTCTCTCTCTCTCTCTCACACACACATAATCTGCATTCTTTTACTCCTATTCCTCTCGTATTCCTTACATTGCCACATCTTAATCGTGCCCACTATTCCTTGTCCTTACCTCCGATATTCTTCTTGATCCAATAGACTGCCATACCCAGCTCCTCTTCCCTGAACTTGTAAGTATCGCGATAACTTGACCTGTCTATCCTACTGCAACGTTCATGCATATCTTACTGCACCTTCCTTCCTATTGCATTTTTCAGTTTCTGCTCTACCCTGCTGGTGCATTGTATTTGTTAGACGCAGCTTTATTCTAGGCAACACTTTGGTTTGGATACAAAAATAACAGAGGATTCTTGGTGAATCTCTCAGATAGCAATTTCTTATAAAGGTACACGCGCGACACCGTGGCAGATACAAAACGGAAGTGGTACAACTTGAAGAGAAAAATGGAAGTGAAGAAAAAAGAAAGAAGAAAGGAAAGAAACGAGAAGAAATAAAGTCTGTGTGCAAGTTCGGCATAGACGGTGAATTCGAACGTGGTTTTTCACAATACCGTATCGTATACTTCTTTATCGTATTGTGATTTACGCCTGTTACGATCTTGTTTGACTCATGCGCGCGTTTCATACGTTTAACCTGTACCTTAATTTATTCCTATGCTCCCGCCGGTCGTAATGGTTCGTAATAGACGTAAAAGTTGCGTGCGTCAGGCTGTCATTAATCCTGATTATTCTCGATCGCTTCACGGGTCACGCTTGCACGATCAATTCTTACATTTTGTAATTCTCCCTCGTAGCATATTTTTCCAAACGATCGTCGATGTATAAATACTGACTTTCGCGTACGTCTGTCGCCATAATATACAAATTCTCATATTTCTTCTTTGCTTTCTGTCAGAGCAAGCTAGCTATTCTTTCGTACGACGATTTCCCTAGCGACGCACTACGTGTAACTTGCCATTCCTTGTCCGACGAGGAAGATGTATCGCGTCAATAGCACCCATGTTATATACTAGCCTAATTAATACTTAATTAGAATGTATATAGAGGAAGATACGACAAGTGGTGTTGGACCAATATTGTATTGCAACAGGACCACTACCTTCATCTTAAATCTTAATTTACTATCTAAATGTAGTTATATTTTAATTTATTATATATCTTCCAGTTCGTCTTGTCTCGTTGTTCCAACAGTAAGATTTGCCTGCTAACGCGTTTCTAGGTATATTTCTATACCATAATCCTGTACGCGAGCGTACGTTTCCTTATTAATGATCCTCTATGTTTGTGTCAGTCTTTGGTATTTCGTTCCAGTTCTGGATGTTGTTCTGTGGTTTCTCTATTCGTCCAAGCTCCAGAATACTCTCAACTTTATGCTCCCCTTTATGAAGTTTGCTAGTTGGCATATTAATTTTTCGCTTTTCGTTGTTATCATTTCTGTTTATTCCTCATTTCTCAAAGTGATTGGTCTGACTTCTGTGTATACCGTGCAGCCATTGATCGATTATCGTTTCCCTATTTCCTGTTTCCTCAATTTCGCACAGTCGACGTAATAGGTTCTCCTGTATTTTATACTTAAATTCATGTCCTATCGTCGTTGTCCAACTCCGTTTACCAATTAATCTTACCCATGCAATAGTTTCTATCGACAGTGGTTTATTTAATGTTAGGTAGTTCGTCGCTTGTCGATGGCATATCCTGAATTCTTTTGTCGTCACGGTGTATATCAAATTTGATATTTTAATATATTACATTTCGTTAAAATTGTTTCACGTTAAATAAAAGCTCGATATCGTGTTTATCAAAACGTGTAAATAAAATTGCATTTATTAAAAAGTCTATAACGTCGAAAGTGGAAGCAAAATAAAATAAGTGAAATAATACAGTTCGATTACAGTTTCTAAAGGTACACGTTAACTTGGCATTCGTATACACTGATACGCTATGGGTACATAAATTTCCACTTGAAAAATTAATATTAATTTACAACACGACGCAACATTTTATCGAAAAAGCAATTTCAAATTTCCTGCAAAATTCTACTCGTCGTACTCGCGCTCGATATGCAATTTTTTAAAACGTACAATGATTCTTCCTTGAAGGTTTAACGTTTCATTAAAAATACACTGTTATTCCATAATTTATTGGAAAACAGCGAAGTTTCTGATAATGGATCTTATCGTTTTCTACCGAATAATCAATTTTTCCTGCCCATCACAATATTTGTCATATTTTACGAACTCGTTTCAACATGAAGTACGAATTGAGATTCTTTAAGTTCGACGCGGTCATTAACAAATACGAAAGCACGGAACTACGGCAAATAAATTAACAGATACGATGAAATAACGATCTATCTTTGGAAATTTACGTATTTATCAAGATGAAATAGCCTACTTCGTCACGTTTCGTTGGAAGTGAAATGTTATTCGATAAAATAATTCATCGACACCGATATGATAATGATGAAATCTCATTTTCAATATGTTTCGCGTGATTCTAACCGGTTCTTCCAATTTTACTACTACATTTCTACATGGAAGTCACGAAAAAAAAATTAATTTGAATAAAATCAATAGAGTTTCTTTCTCGATATCGTCTTGAAAGCTGTGCAAAAAAAAAAGAGGAACAGAGCAAATACAGTTAGAAAGCTCGCCGTGAAACGAATATTTTTCATCGCTGTTGTTTGTTTTTCAGTGGAACGACTGTTTAATCTGATGCAAAAGCATCGGAACACCGCTATTTACTCGCGATAACATCGTTATAAATATTGTTGGTCAATGGTGAAACATTTCGATCCAGATTCTGCGGCGTAAGAGAGTATTTCATAAATTTCATAAACGTGATATACATCGTAGGATCTTATGCTACAATTAATTTATTTACAATCAATGGATTGTATAGATATTGATTAAACAGGAAACGATGGTAGTTTAACGTAAACTAATCGCAATAACGTACTATAATTTAGACAACTAAATAATTAATTCGCAACTCTCGTCACCACGGATCCAACGCTCTCTCTCTCTCGACAACGCACTCTCTGACTTCTCAACTAATATTCTCCGGCTTCTCCACTGACACTGACTGTTAATTCGTCTTTCTCTCTTAGCATCCCTTTGTCTTTTTATCTTAGCTCCACCACGCGGGTGTTCCGCGACCGCTCGTGGTCAGGGTCAGTCATCAGGACTTTTCCACGAAACTATTCGATTGAAGGATCGACGGCACATTGTTGGGCCTGTCGACACTTCGGCTTTCTCGCTACATCATTTATGGTTCACCCGATGTCTCTTAGGCCTTTTGTCCATGATACTACAACGTACATAAATTCCCAGGATGAAATGAACATAATTTTCCAGCATGTACAAGCGACTTTGAAAAATTGTCAAACTTGTATCGTACTTTGTTGGAAGCAGAGATGGAAGATAAAGTCTAATACGCTATCGAATTAGTATTAACAAAATTATTCTAAGAAAATACTGCTACGTAAGGAGGCGTTAAAAAATACTGATCTATTGTATGAAAAAAATTGCTCTCACTTACTGTATATCTACTTACACAAGTCGAGAAACTCGTAAACCAAAGCAGAGCGGTCGCGACGATTACGTCGACGAGTTCTGTAAGAGCGTAATCTTCTCGTTTAGAAAACGCAAAAGCAACCAGCACAACGATCGGTCACCTGAATCCTACGATCCTAAGATCCACGATCGGCTGCTTTATCGTTTCGAAATTTATGGTTCGAGTCAGAACAATTGCGTATTTTGCACGAGTTTGGCGGATACGTGGAGCAATGAAAAATTGATTAAAAATCGGCAGGATTGCTTTTAATCGAGGATCGAGTCGATTCAAAGTTTGCGAAATCTCGAAGATTGAATACGAAATCTCGAACGAGGCTCTAAATTTGGAATATTTCGAGGAAAAGCGGTTTTCAAGTTACGCTCTTCCATAAGCTGAAACGCTTAACGCGGTTCTTGCGTTTAACGTTACATCGCCTTCTGACGAAATATCTGCTATACCAGTGTGTGTTAGAACGATCTCTGTAGAACTGTACTAGATCGTTAACGTCAGGACTATAATAGAACCATAATACGTACCTAAATGTTGCCTATATAAATCAGTATAAAATTGTAAGGAAATTAATTCAATGAAATGCATCTAAATAATTGTGTATCCGCTAAATAGAAGTCCGCATTAATTTTCGCAAAAACGTCTATACGTTTTCGGTAGTAAAAGTCGTAAAAGGAGAAGAAGTAATTATTATTTTATTATAACACATATGATTGCAGTGTTAATAAACATCCACCAAAATACGTTGTAGAGAGCCCTTATTCGAGGTTTCCATAGGATTATCGAGAAGCGTGCGACAGTATCGGCGTAATTCCCGGCGCGTATTAATTTCGAGGAAAGAAAGAGGGGACAAAAAGGTACAAAACAAGCGTTTCCCTGGCGTAGGCAAAGAGACGCGCCATAAATAATCCGCTTTACAACGGCGGTGAGTCGTGCATCCGCAGAGGTTAGCGTGAAAAGTGCAGCTTGCATCGGTGCGCCCTGTTATTCCGTGCAATAAATACCTCTCCGTGTTCGGGCAAAAGTTAAATTTCGATCACAGAGTGCTCGATGTCGGGGTCGGATAAACTCTGCAACACCCGAGCTGTATTCGCTACGAATCCGCTCGAAATCCGTTCCGTGGTCTCACGATTCGAAGCGACAACCGCGTCGAACTCCTTCGCCACTGCGATAAGTCGAGGAAACAATCCCCTTCGATCTCCTACCGTTGAATTTCGCGTTACGGGAAATCCTGCGTTCTGTACGCATCGCGTACGAAATCGTTCACAGGTTTCCTTCGTGAGATTCACCATGGGTCCAACGGTGTATCGAAAAGAATGATTTTTTTCGATGATAAACGAGCCGCTCATCCGCCAAATCGGCTAACTCTGCGAAGCAGAGAGTAGGAAAAGTTGGTGAAATTATCTAAGATAAGGATCGATCGAGTGCTGTGGCGCTTTAAAAAGTTCGAGGAAGTTAATGGAGTTAACCGCTTTGGCCTGTGAAACAGCTCAAATCGCGTACGCAGATGTACGGAATCTGGAGAACGTTTAATCCACGGTGTTCTATTTGTACGGGATATTTAAAACTTGATACACTTTATATGGGCTTTATCGTGAAAGGTATTTTCTTTTTTTGAAAAATGTTATTTCCTAAATATATAATAGCTACATACTCTTGGGAAGGGCTTAACTGCGACGAATATAAGCTGGAATCAAAATTCGATGGAATACAAATTTTAGCGATAAGTTGGTATTAAATTTAAGACAAATGCTGGTTTCGTAGGTTGAGAAGTGTAAGCGTTGAACATATCGCGAGCTTGAAATTCATCATAACGCGTACATATCAAAGTGTGATATAAGCAAATTTTTCTACGGTATAATATATATATTATCTGTATATATATACACGTATTTTTTACTACAGTATAATTTTGATGCGAACGATCATTAAAAACTTGAGAATTATACAATTTTTAAGGAGATTATTTTACGAATCAAGGTATCGATCGATAACGTTCAATAATTTCAGCAATATAACAAATTGATGATCGAAACGCAACGTAATTTAACATGTAAGAAATATTTATCTTCTGTGAATGATTCGAAGAAGGTACTAGACCGAAAGAATCAAGAAAATATAAATATAATTGACTGTGTGCAAAGTGGTCGACAATTCGTTCAACGAATCGCATTGTATGAGATAGCGAATATTTTTTGACATTTACTTAAATTCCTTTAATACGAAATACATGTAAACCAAACGATATAACGTAGATAATTTTCGTTGTTGGGAAAAATTCAGAATATAATTATCTGCTTGTTTGTCTACGTTAATTACTTCTTCTCGTGTATAGTCGTTAGACGAAGGAAGAGATCACCGCCGAATATGTACAAACATAAGCTCGTAGCAAACGTTAATTCGTCTCAACTGATACGTCTAATCGATACTAATCAAAGCGAAATACAAACCTTGATCTTTGCAAACTAGTCTTCGCAGGCAGTCGGTAAGCAGCTTTGAGCAAGAATCAACTGAGTTTGCCTAAGCAATAATTTTGACGAAGTCTCGTATATGTATCTGCATATACGTCGTACGATCGCAGGCAAGTAATTATAGAAGCTGTGAGCATTACAACTTAACCAGATGATGTTTCTTGCGAATGATTTCTACGAAGAGAAAGATGAATCGTTGGAAATTTGTCGCTGATACTGGGGGCAATATATTTTCCAACACGATCGATAAATAATTTCCAAGTATAATAGATTGTTAATATTTATTTTCGCGTAAGTTTTATCACGATTTTTCAGAATTCCAAAGTTTTAATTAAATTTTGGGAAAGTTCGAGCGCTTGGGTTCGCCACAACTCTGAATTAGTAAAACATTCGATTACAGTTGCTATCTTTTTCAACTTCCCTCTATAATAGCAAGCATCTGCTTATCGTGCAAATTAATCTTGTACCGTTCCGATATCTGATTTGTCATAATCGACCGAGATAAGCGAAACACCTGGAACTTTGCATCGAATAGATGTCCCCCTCGTTGTTTGTCTTATCTCGAGCGACGAGATAGAAGACGACCGAAGTCGAAAACAAGACGACCAAGAGTTTTCTCGAAAACATTCGCCAAACATTCTGCAAAAACAGAGATCAAACACATTGGAGATAAAAACGAGAGAGTCGTCAGCGAAGTAGCCTGGCAAAAGAAACGTCATAGTTCTTTGCAGCCAGTTCGTTTCAAACGTGAAATGTCCGCTGCAAAAATGCGTCGCGACCGTCTCGCAACGGTAAAGTTGGCCCTGACACGATGTACCCGCGTGCTACGTCGAGTTAGCTAGCGACGCAAGTGAATTATATCTTGTTACGAACCGGAAGGGCCAACTTCTGTAGACGTCGCTCGCGCGAATAAATTGTATCTCTCGCGGCGAAGTGGCCGACGACGACGCAAGGAGACCCATCCCGCGGAAAGATTAGAAACCGTGAGGCGAGCTGGCCCCGAGGAAAAAAAGAAACGAACGTTACTTTGTAGAGGAGCACCGTACAACCTGCTGAATTAATTCGGTGCACTAAAGATCCCATGTCCCTTTTGCAGCCACGCAAACGTCGTCCAACCTTTTTCATCCCTGTGTTTCACGTTGGTGCGCGTTCAAAGGCGGCCGCGGCATTATCGCGTTAGATTTGGCTATGCAGTTTGAAAGCTTCTGTCGAGTTCTCTGAGAAAAAGTTTTATGCAGCATGATCTTTCGTATTTATTTCCCAGTGGAATTTATCGCGTGTCACGGAACAGCCAGTTTCACATTATCAGCCGACAGTAAGCAAAACTGGCTTTTTTATATATTTGCAAGTACAGTGAGATTTTTGGAAGTTGGTGTAAAAAGGAAATGTTTATAAAATGGAAAGAAAGAGGGAGGATGAAGGAGATTTGATTTGGTTTAAAGCATCTGAGTCGTAACTTTTCGATTATGAACTACCTAAATTCGTCCTATTACAAACATATATTATAATTATTATAAACAGAGGGAAGGTGAAACGAATATATTATGTTCGATATTACGTTCAAAAAGGTATCGTTCTACGCTCTTCATCGTAGTATTGTTTTATATGGACTTGCAAGGCAGGAGTTTATTCCAAAGGATATTTTACAGTTTGGTAACGAAGAAAATAGCGTTTATAACGAAATGGCAGCTCTTATACGAATATAACAATACCTATGTATGTGCCATTTATTAAAATGTAAATCTTATTCGACACAGCATGGAAGAAAGAAAGCATTCTCCGCGTAAATTCCGATTTGAAAATAAAAAGGGCGGAAAAAAGTCGACAAGAACAGCCGGATTAA